TCTCTCTCTCTCTCTCTCTCTCTCTCTCTCTCTCATTTAAATTGGGCAGAGAGCACTCAGATTTAACTGCTTCGTTAAAATTTGCTGATAATACTAAAACCGAAAAGTCTCCTGATCATAGTAGTTTGTTCTTTGTGTTTAATACTACGATATAGACATCTCAGAACGAAATTAAAAATTGACAGTAAACCTGATTCTGTATTTATAAGTACTTTTCAATCACTATAAAAATTTTCAACGTACACGATAAGTAAAGAAAAATACAAGGAATTTCCGACATATGTTAGAACCGCTTCTTTACTGGGACAGAATCCGAGGTAAACTTCCTCATAAATCATATTTGTAGAAAACCCACCTTCAAACAAATTTAAACAAAGAAAATATATCAGATAAACTCTCCATGTTCACACTTACCCCCAATCTCGCAATAAGTTGTCAATCTTTTATTACTAAAAGATTCTAAATTCAAGATTCTAAATATTTTTAGAGAAAATATTCTATGCATCACGGATTCCAACTGGAAAATGGGGACAATTTGAAACAACAGTTTCGAGAACGTACTTAGTGTTGTTTACTTTTCGGGTTTACTCGATTTCAGTGGCCAGGGACCACATTCAAAACGAAACGGTGAATGAACGCGGATCCCTCTAGGACCGAGAGGAACTTTTCCCATGGTTACAAACAAACAGAAATGCTTCCCAGAATCCTCCGAGCTCCTCGTGGCTGAGGTTACTACGGATTGCGGGATGCCGCAACGCTGGGAGGAAAGCTTAGTCGAATTCAAGAAGTCCGGTTGGAACCGCACCCGCATACACGCGTGCAATACGCCGCACGCTTGCGCGCAGACAGACAGACACGCATGCACAGGATTCTCAAGTCCCCCTACGACAAATGACATTCCTTCCGTCGTTGGAATGATACATTTTATACGGTGGAATGTGTAACTTATTCATTCTGGAGCTTCAACCTTTCCGTTTTAAATTTTTATAAAATTTAATTTCATCAAGTTTTTTACTCAAAAAGGTTTGGGTAATTATGATAAAAACCTGTTTGAATACTTATCAAAAGTAAACAAATGTTAACATTTTTCACTTAAGTCTAGATTTTTCTCAAAGTATAAGAAATTTTCAGTTACAGGTAAGTTGAACTGTCTCCTTACTATACCACTATACAGCCAACTTAATTTCCCTCTGTCCAAATAGACAATTCCTACTATTAATTTTATGGAAAAAAATGTAGTCCATTTTAATATTTACTTTTACCATGTTTGAACCTGTTTGTAAATACATGTTGAGTATTGGGGGATTTTTTTTTAATTCACATAAATGTATAACACAGAAATGTTCCCCAAATTATTGCCACTAGGCATTACTTTTGGAGGCGGTCCCGGGGTTTTAACTGCTGTGTTTCCTTGAATACATTAAATCATAGTTGTTTACCTCAGATAGACATCAGGGTCTTTGAATTGTTTACCAATACATAAAATATATTCCCTGCAAATGTGCCTTTCACATGTTTGCTGGGTCACTTGCAAAATTAGCAGTTTACATCCTCACCAACATTCGCCAACAGTAGATAGGATCAGACTTTTACAATTTGTGTCACTATGAATTGGTGTGACTCTAGTTCACATTTCTCTGGCGGTTCTGGAATGTTCATTAGACTGTACCCTGTTGTGACCCATCCTCTCTTTCATAAAGCATGCTGCTACTAAGTTCCCTTTCTCCTAGTGGTGTGCAGATCTTCAGATGCCTATTTAATCCATTTTACTCATGTATATGTTGTGAATATCTTCTCGTAGCTTAGCATTTGTCTTAATTTATAGAGGTCTTGCTTTCTAGCTGTCAAGTGTAGTGAATCTGTCAACCTTTTGTTAGGTGTCTGCCACTTGTATTTTAAGAAATTCTTGCCTATCCCGAGGTCATTAAGGATTTCCTCTTCATAGTTTATAGTTCGGTTTCCATTCTTTCTCTGTTGTGTGGTATCATGGATATATATAGTGACACTATTGACTTTTATGCCACACACTCTTGTGCCCAAACCCTTGCTGGATTCCATTACTGTTACACTTGGTCTGTGTGTGTCTCAGGATTTCCCACTTAAAGAAGCCTTACATTGTGCAGACAGTAACCCTTTAACATTTATTTTAACAAATTTAAGAGGCAAATATGGTGGCTCCCCATGTCACTACCACCCCAGCCTCAAACATTTGTCATTCCTGTTTTGTCTATCCTCCCTCCCAGAACCTTTTGCATTTTTTTCCAGGAATATCTTACAGTAAATCTCCAACATGTATATTTTATTAAATATACAAAGGCTTTTATTTTTAAAATACCATATATATCTGTGGCAGAAATTCTTTAATACTTGTCTGTTCCACATTCAATTTTCAGTCTTAAAAATACCTGTCTAGGAAGGAGAGGTGGCACAAGAGCCCTTGCTACTTGCAGAAGACCTGGGTTCAGTTCCCAGCACCCATATGACAGCTTATAACCATCTGGAACTCCAGGTCCAGGAGACAGGATGCTCTCTTCTGCTCCAAGGGATCCTGCACACATGTGGTGCACATAAACAAGTGCACACACACACACACACATAAAACTTAAAAATAAGCCGGGCAGTGGTGGCGCATGCCTTTAGCCCCAGCACTTGGGAGGCAGAGGCAGGTGGATTTCTGAGTTCGAGACCAGCCTGGTCTACAGAGTGAGTTCCAGGACAGCCAGAGCTACACAGAGAAACCCTGTCTCAAAAAAACAAAAAAACAAAAAACAAAAAAAAAGAAAGAAAAAAAACCTTAAAAATAAATTATAATGTCCATCTAGAGTTGGCTGTGAAAATGAAGTTAGAGCAACACTGTTTAATTCACACAGCAATTCCTTTTGCCCACTTTCCTTGGCTCTGGATGTTGAAGAAACTTAAGTCTTGTCTGTAGAAAAACTGCCTACTTTGTGAATCTGCTGACTATCTTGATAGTGATTTTTAATTTGTTCCTAAAGCTACTGTAAGGCTCTAGCGAGCAGAGCCTTAGTTTACCAGAGACCCCCTGAGTGAACCACTCGGAAATGAGAGATCACTGCAAAATGCAAGAGGAATTTTTAATGTTCCAGCATGCTGGGGCCATCCTGCATCCCAAAAGGAGAGGCGACCCCACACAGCTTGTTCAGTGAGCTTTTATACAAGTCCTTAGGGCCCCAGACATTAGGCACAATGTGATTGGCAGAACAGTGTGACTTTTTAAACTGGTTGGTCTTTAGGGAATGAGGTGACAAGGACTTCCCTTGTCTGTAGGTGGCAAGGATTGGTCTGTCCTACAGAATGTGTCTACATGCTCTGGGCCTTCTTCACCCACAAGATGGGTTGGTTCCCTTCCAGGTGGTCTGAGGAAGGTTAATCAGCCTCACCCTTCTTCCTCTGACTGTTAATCTAGCAAAAGTCCTCTGAAGGAGGAATGTTAATTAGCTTCTCCCATGGGGGTGGGGGTGGGGGGAGAGACAAGTGTTCCAAAGTTCCTCTTCACTACCAGTTTTACATAGAGGCTACATTGAGGAGATATACTCTTATTCTGCAAGAATTCTTCACAATTCTACATTCAAACCTGGCTCCAAAGTCACTATGAATGTATGTTCATTAAAAGAATAAAACCATTTATTGGTCATGGATATGTAACCTGAAGATATATTTGTAGGCCTTAGTTTATACTCTAGTGGTAACCTACCAATCACTACTGACTGGGAAAAAGAAAAACTGACTAATGAAATTACACCTTAGTTTTATGGTGCCTCATCAGACTATTAGATTTTATAATCAGATCAGCATTGCACTATAAGTTATATATTACCCTGAATAGTGAAGCCAAACACTGGGATATAGAGGTTAAAGTTAAGATTTTGCTGTCAGACTTGGTTCTAATTTGGATTCAACCACATCTGTGGTCAGAGATAGTGCTAGTTAAAGTCAGCAGCTCATAAGAGAGAAACAAAAAGCTGGGGTGGGGGGGAGAGTTTGAGGAATGGAAGGGAGGAGATGTGTGGTCAGAATATATTATATACATAAATGAAATTGTCAAAGAATACATATATATATTTTAAGTCTGGAGAGGCCCAGAGGTTGGATGTCATTTGTTGTAGGGCACTTAGTCCAGGACCAGTCACCAGTTAGTTGCCCACACCAACTTCACCAAGCCTAACATGGTATCCAGGAGAACCAAAATCTTGACTAGTCCCTTATGTAGCACCAGCCTGACCCAGCAAGAAGGTAGACACACTCAGGTCATTCTGCCCAATGGCCCAGCAGTGTTTTGTTTTTCTGTTATTTTGTTTGAGATTCTGGTAGCCAGGCTGACCTCAACTCCCTACAAAACTCAGGATGATCTTTACCTCTTGATCCTCCTGTCTCCACCTCCAGAGTACTGGAATGGGAGGCTTGCACCACCACCCTGGCTGGGCTTTAAATAGAGAGATATGTTTCCCACCCATTTCCACAGTGTTAAGTACAATTAGCTTTCTATAAGGTATTGTCCCTTCCAGCTGGAATGTACAGAGCCAGAAAACAGTACTTTTCTGGTTTGTTCGCTGTATCACCTACAATGGTATGCCCTTCCCCAGCCTTGAGCAGGCTGGAAAGACCTATGACCTAGGTGGAGTCATCCACCCAGGCTGCACATACAAACTCCTACATGAACTTAGAAGAGGCTGCATGCTGACCTTGATTTGCGACATAATCCCATAATCCGTCTGAAACAAAGTATGGCTTCGGTGAGGCTTCCCTTATCTATACACGAGCTGAATATTAAACTCTGAGCCTTGATCAGAGAACTTCATCTTGGCTCCATGTTTCTCTCGCCCCTCCGTCTCCTTTTTATTTCCAGACCTCCTTTCAGGAGAACTCAGTTTGTCCGTGGCCACTGGATGGCTACACAATGGTACACACATTTCTTGGTGTACATTACACATTATACTGGAAACTGTAACTTCAAATGAAATAGGCTACTCTCTGCTATATCCTATGGTGTAGGATGAATAAACGGTAAGTTGAGAGGCACTCTTATGGACCAACCAGGTTTTGAAAAGCTTTGAGAAGATAACGAAGGAGGAAAAAGTTAGCAAATTTTATCCAAGACTGAAAGAGTTTCTTCTTGTTTAAGAAATACCATTATATGCTAGTTTCCAAAGGCTCCAGGTCATATACTGAGGTCTTTCTTTTCCTTTTTAAGACTTTTCCTTTAAGGATTAATTTTATGTATATGAGTGCTTTATCTGCATGCCCAGAAGAGGGCATCAGACACCATGTGGTTGACTGGGAATTGAACTCAGGACCTCTGGAAGAGCAGTCAGTGCTCTTAACAGCTGAGCCATCACCCAGCCTGAGATCTTAAGACTCATCAGTAGCAACACCCCTCCCAAGCTAACCAGGCATGTTTAGAGAGAATTGGTGTTCACATTTAAAAACTATTCCCATTTCAACGCCTTGGTTTTTGTTTGTTTTTCAGACAGGGTTTCTCTGTGTAGCCTTGGCTGCCCTAGAATTTCCTCTGTAGACCAGGCTGGCCTCAAACTCCAGAGATCTGCCTGTCTTTGTCTCTCCAGTGCTAGGATTAAAGGCATCCGCCACCACTGCCCAGCTCAATGTCAGTTAAGTAAAAACGTAAGATCATAGATTGTCCCCGTTTTAGCTAAATCTGATTTCATGTAAACTTTCAAATATCTAATTAAGCCTAATTCTAACAATAAACAAGTAAAATAAATTCTAGTGATTATAGGTAAGCTAACCTGGCCACACATAGTGACACACACCTTTAATCCTGGCACTCTCAGGAGGCAGAGGCTGTTGGATCTCTTATCAGGCCAGCCTGGTCTACAGAGTGACAGCTAGGGCTTCTCTCTCTCTGTCTCTCCCTCTCTCTCCCTCTCTCTCTCTCTCTCTCTCTCTCTCCCTCTCTACACACACACACACACACACACACACACACTTCATTTATATTCATTCATCCGCATTCCCACTGCACCCTCCCACCCCAAGGAGAGAAAAGAGAGATTAACAAGGCTCAAACAGTTAAAGATTCACAAGGCCCTTCCCAAAGACAATATAAACTGTGGTGATCAGTGGGAGAAGGTATTCCCCTGCAGAGAGCTGCCTGAAAACTGAGCAGGAAGCTATAGGATTGCATCTTTCCTGAGCGGTTACCCATGCTGCCTTTCTAGTAATGCAACTGCTTTGAGTTGGCCATGCTCCTGTTAGGTGACCTGCTAAACTCATCAATTCACCAGGCAGTACTTCAGTGGAATCATTTCTGATCTATCATTGGTGCCTGATGCAGGATAAATAGATTGATTCACATCTCTCTAGAAGGATATGTAGGTTTACCAATGTCCCTTAAATGAGACACAGAAATAACTTTTCAAAATACAACCAATTTTGCTTTATATTTCTGAAAACAAAATGTATCCCGGATACTGACAGTTTTTACATTCTTTTAGCCATCTAGGCTTTAGGATCACATAGCCAACATATAACAAAGCATAACTTTTAAAAACGTAAGAAGCTCCAGATATAGCTCAGAGGTAGAATGCTTGCCTAGCATGCTTAAAGCATGGGCTAGATCAAACAGCACAAAAGCTTTAAAACATGTAACATGGGATCTGGATTGTAAAAGATTTTAATATCAAATCCACTTTACATGACTAAACATCTGGATTGCCAAGCAAAGTACTGTATACATGTCACAATAATAAGCTACCAACCCACAGCTGTTACAGTCAGTAATTATCTTCGGACATTCCAAATGAAATTTGACATTCACCATGAAAGAACAATAAAGAAATGCCTTTCACAGGATCTATCCCAAGCTGGGTCCTCAATTCAGTGTCTTTGTTTGTGATCCCAGCACCGGCAACATTTTCATTTCATCCACTCTGTTCTTGTGTATTTGGAAAGCAGGGGTTATCCATCGCCCACACGAGCACTGTTCACCATACCAGTTAAAGGAACCCAATTTGGCACTGCATTTTGGGCAAAGAAGCTGAAAAAAAGCAAATGTGTTACTCTGTCCACTTTTATACACATTCAGCAACTATCTTTGACAATACAGAATATAAAGTAGCTAAGGTGCGGTTCCTGTCATCAAGGAATTAGTAAAGTTCAAAGCAACTAAGAATGTTTTGAATCAGGGTGGAAATGTACACTCAGATTCTCATCTTCTATGACCACCTGCTGTCAGTAGCACATAGGTCAGATACACTGATGTTCCAGTACGAGAGAAATCCAAAGTACTCACCAAGTCAACTGCACTTTCTCTAATGTTAGCATTACTATTTATGTTTTGTAGACATGGTCTGAGTAGGGCTTTTTATTTTAAATATTGAACTACAAATGTCTGGACATAGGGCGAGCAAGACAGATCAGTGTGTAAAGGCATTTGCCAAGCAAGCCTCATAACCTGAGTTTGATTCCTGGAACTCATGCAAAAAGGTAGAAAGAAAACTGTCCCGACCTCCACACATGCACCAGGACACACGTACTCCTTTCCCAAATAAATAGGTAAGTTTTATTTAAGACTATACATAAAACTCAGAAACACAAATGGAAAAACAAAAACCACAACCAGGCATGACAGATGTCTGTAATCCTAGATAGTTGGACCATAAAGAGTTCACACATAAGCCGGGCAGTGGTGGCGCACGCCTTTAATCCCAGCACTTGGGAGGCAGAGGCAGGCGGATTTCTGAGTTCTAGAGTTCGAGGCTAGCCTGGTCTATAGAGTGAGTTCCAGGACAGCCAGGGCTACACAGAGAAACCCTATCTCGAAAAACCAAACCAAAAAAAAAAGAGTTCACACACACACACGTTTCTCTACTTTCTTAGACTTTAATGTGACAAAATGTATTGTTTGAGATGAGAAAAAAACTTTGATGAAGCTAATCTATAATATTCAAAAAGCTCCTACATATCAAGAAAAAACAAAGCTATAAAGCACTTTATAAACAAACAAACAAACAAAAAACTATAAATGGCTGAGGAGCCAGTTTTGTCACCTTGACACAAACTAGTCACCTAGGAAGAAGAAATCTTGACTGGGGACTTATCTCCATCAGACTGGCCTGTGGGGGCAATGTAGGGATAATGTTTATATGCACCGTGTGAAGATGTGTCTGTCCTTCCTTGCCTGCCTAAGGCACCCTCTGACTGGGTAAGATAAAAAGGCCAGGACTTATTAGCGAAGGCAGGAAGTGGAAGGTGGAAGTTCTGAGAAAGAGTCAGGTGCAAAGAGGTTCACACCTAGCCGTGGAGGAAGTCAGACTTAATGAAACTGAGAGGTAACTAGCCACATGGCAGATAACTGAGTTGATATAAGTAGCAAACTGATCAGGAAACAAGCTTAACTTAAGGCTAAGTCCATCTTAATCTAGAAGATGGACTGTGAGCTCTAACAGGAACTCAAAGCTTTCCTTCCAGATGGTTTTTGGCCATGGTGTTTTTCACAGCAACAGAAACCTATCAGTTGGTAAATATACTAATGTTCAATGGTAAATATGAAAAGTCAGGGGCACTTTAGAATTAACACTGTATTTACTCCACAAACATTTCATAGTATCTAGTGTGATGAGAGAGACAAAGAAATGTGTACACACGTTCTCTCAGTGAGAAGAAATCCTGTATGGGCTTTATGAATGTTAGCCTTAATGGAGTTGTTGAGGCACGAGTTCCATTTCTAAGTATCTCTTCTATGGAAATCACAAATATGTGTACAAAGAAGCAAACACAATGTGACAGATACTTATTTATTGAGTGGTTGATTGATTGATTGGTTGGCTGGTTGGCTGGTTGATTGAAATATCTCGCTATGTAGCCCTGGCTAGCCCAGAACTCTCTATGTAGACAAGACTCACCTTAAACTCACAGAAATCCATCTGACTCTGCCTCCTGAATGCTGGATAAAAGGTATATACTGTTCACTACACCCACCCATGATTTAGAATCTTTTACAAAAATGGCTTTACTCTGTGTCTGTGTGCATAGTACAGGCTAAATTAAAGCAGCAAGCCAAAAGCACAAAAGCCAAAACTGGATTTCTCTGAGACTGAAAGCTCTATGACAAATCCTAATCCCAGGGATGGGAAGAGAGAGCCAGGCATAGCTGTGCATTCTTGTAATTCTAGCACCTGCAACATAGATGCAGGAGGACCAGGAGTTACAGGCCAGCCTGGGCTTCATGAGATCCTGTCTCAAAAATCAACACTGAACAGGGGCCAGGCTTGGTAATGCATATATGTAATGCCACTACTCAGAAGGCTGAGGACAAAGGGTGAATTCAAGCCCAACCTAGCAAAACCAAAGTGAAACAAACACCAGCAAAAACTCAGAGTGACTCCCAACGACTATATTGAGTGTGATGATTACAAAAACAAAAAACAAAAAACAACCAACCTCTGCAACTATAATAATAATAATAAAAAAAAACCTACCAAACATTATAAAATGGCTGAATCATATATAAATAAAGCTGGCTTAAAGCAGTACAATCTGACCATGTTGATACCACTCTCCAGACAAAATACTAACTAATATAAATTAAGTTCCCTCATGAGAAGATTGCAAATATATTGATAGATGGCTGCCTTAATTTAGCCTGTAAAATGAGTGCTCACAGACAACAGAGTAGAGCCATTTTTATAAAAGATTCTAAATCATGGGTGGGTATATTCTCAAATGAGATAATATATGAAAGGCTTTATAAAGAATCTGTTGTGCAAACTTTTATACACCCATACAACCTTTCGAATTGATTAAGATTGTTATTACACAGGGTTGAGTTGTAGCTCCAGGGGAATGTATAGGGCATGTAACTGCCCTAGATTAACTCTCCAACATTTAAAAAAACGTTATAGAATACCTCAGATTAATATCGAGTATGCAGGAAGGCAAATTGTGAGGACTTCAGAATATGCTTCTGAGATCCATTCTTTAATACAGAATGAAAAGCATCCCATAGTAAATGCATTAAATTCAAAGATCAGAAAAATAGACAATGTGTGTCATGAAGCTAAATGAGAAAAATAATTTTTTTTTTTTTTTTGGTTTTTCGAGACAGGGTTTCTCTGTATAGCCCTGGCTGTCCTGGAACTCACTCTGTAGACCAGGCTGGCCTCGAACTCAGAAATCCACCTGCCTCTGCCTCCCAAGTGCTGGGATCACAGGCATGCGCCACCACTGCCCGGCTGAGAAAAATAAATTTTAAACCTAATTTTACCTTGATTTACCCCCCTATTTAATTTTGTGATATATCTAATTATTCTTAAAATGTTCGTCTTACATTTGAAAACATAAATAACAGCTTTAAAGTAAGTCTAACTTGGATGAGTGGTTCTCCATCAAATGTGGCTAATGAATTTGAAAAAAAGCTTATTTTTAAAAACATTTTACTTGAATACTGGGGACATAGTTTCATTGTAGAGTATATGCTTACATGGATAGACCTTGAGTTTAATTTAAAAAGAAATCATTTATTTTTGATAACCTTACCCATATACTATAAAGGTATAATCCTCAGAATCTTCAGGAAGGAAATGTTAAACATGGTGTTGATTTGTCTTGGGTTTTGTCCAGACAGTAAGACGGCACAAGAGGCCAAGGCCCTCTGGCCAAGCCTGACGACCTGAGCTTGATACTGGAACTCACAAGGTGAACAGTGAAAATCAACTTCCACAAGTTCCTCTGACTTCCACGTGAGTGAGTGTGTGGCACCCAAAACCCCCCACAGGTACACATACCATATATAAAATAAAGAAAATGTGTACAAACATTAAAAGTAAATAAAAATGCCTTTGTTGTGTTGTCTTGAGATAGTGTCTCATGAATGTCAGGATCGTCTCAAACTCACTGCATGCCTGAGGTGACCTTAATGACTGGTCCTCCTGTCTCAACCTCCCAAGTGCTGGGGATGCCTGGCTTATGTCATGCTAGAGATGGAATCCAGGGCCTCATGCACAACACAAGGCAAGAACTCTGCCAACTGAACCACATCCCTGGCTCTAACGTAGAATTAAAAGTGTAAAAAGGAACAGAATTTAGAGGATACCATGAAACTGTAGACAGCAAACAGTGTTCTCACCTGTCCATCCATAACTCCCAACAAAGTAGATTCCATCCACTGCACAGGTTCAATGAAGTAAGACGTACACTGAGCCTGACTCCCTGTGGTAAGCACAGAAAATGATGCCGCTCTCTTGTGAGCAAAGGCTATTGGTCCACTTCCTTCACTATGATCCAAAATACTAGAATGTCTAAATAAAGATCGCCTGTGAAACCACCAAACACAAAAGCATTAATGAAAGCACAGATGAAATATACAATACTTCTAACAGGTGAAAATAATGTAACATTGAGTATGCTACTCAAAATTTCGGCAGCCCCTACAATCCAATTACTAAGTTACATTCTCTCTGAAGCAGGTTTGGACTTAAAACTTCCATAATATTCAATTAAACAAATTCTTCTTACAGAAAGAATGAAGCTGGAAGTGCTTTTTCCAATTATCAAGATGATAAAATTTCCAGAGGATACAAAATATTTTTACCTGCACTTTCTACATTTGTAGAGAATGTCATCTTTTAATCCTTGTGAAATGGTAGTTGGGTCAACAGCAAAGAGTTCTTGAGGTAAATTCTGAAGTTCTACAAGATAATTTAAATTCATCCACTGTCAAGATTAACCTTCTAGATTTTCAGATAAAGTCCCAATGCCAAACTGAGGCGATACATGCTAAACTCAGAAACTAAAGGCAAGAATCTCCATGTTGAGAGATGAGGTAGGAGAGTAAACCGAGCAAGCAAGCCTTCACTCTGAATGGGGTGCCTGATTCCAATCCTGGCCATTTTTAAACCCTGTGACTTTCTGCTAAACAAAAGGAACCAACAGTCTCTGCCTCCTAGGAATTCTTGGAAAGTGACAGAATGCATTTAGTGTCCAAGAAAATGACACCTCAGAAGAGTCCAGTCATACGAGTACCCAGTGTGTACTCACCTGGATACTTCTCAGTCACCTTCTGTAAACGGTACTGCTTGTAAATGGCACTGGAGGTATCGACTTCGTATCCCATTGCCTCGTACAGTTTCAGCTGCCGCTCAAACCCCTCATTCATCCTGCAGTGGAGAGCAAGTATGACGTTTAGAGTCTTTCAATAAGGAGACGGGAAGAAAGGAGAAGTGCTTACAGCCAAAAAGGAAGACCCTACGTTCGCCTCTGGCCTATGGATGTGCAGAGAAGTGCACCTACCACACACATGCACATACGCCACACACATACACAACCGTGCACACACACACCTTACACACATTCTATGCACAAACACACCATACATATACACACATACTATACATACAGATACATAGACACCATATACACACAAAATACACACCATACATACACACACATACCATATATATACCACACACACATACTATACATACACATATATACACACACACCCCATACACAAACACACCATACACACAAATACACACTTTAAAGAAAGAGAAAAAAAAATCATTACTGGGACTCCAGAGGACTCACCTAGCCTCTGGCTTTACAGTCTGGAGGTTTTCGTAGGCTTTTTCAAAGGTAAGATGGTCGGTCTTCATTATAAAAGCTGTCACTACAGCAACACTGCGACTGACTCCTGCATGACTGAAAAAGAGACCTTCAAAATAAAATGGCAAATAGCAGCAATTAAAAAGCAAGCCAAGCTGGGCATGGTGGTGCACACCTTTAATCCAAGCACTCAGGAGGCAGAGGCTGGCAGATCTCTGTGAGTTTGAGGCCAGCCTGGTCTACACAGTTGAGTTCAGGATAGCCAGGGCTACACAGAGAAACCCTGTCCAAATCAAGCAATCAATCAGTCAATCAATAAACAAATAAAAGACAAAGCCCAGCCAGGTGTGAATGGTAAAGTTTAAGTCCACCTCATTTCTTTCTGAGTCCTGACGATCTTGTCCCAGCCTCCTAAGTGCTGGGATTACAGGTGTCGCGCAGTGTGCCCACTTCATTTCTATTTCCATTCAAATTAACCCACTGTCTCTTAAATACTGTCAGCACACAAAAGTTGTCAATTATTTCCTTATTCCTTTTTAATCCTGAACAACATGGATGCGTTAACTATTCAACAGTAACTGCCTTAAATGCTTGAGCTGCTCTCATGGCTCCTTGCCTCTTACCTTCAAGTTGTTCCAGATCCGTACTTTTTATCACTACCTTCTGTCCTTGTGTAAATCTCTACAACAACAGGCACACAGGAAGTATCCAACAAAGCAGTTCAAACCAACCCAACAGGACTACTCTGGAATTCCAAAACATCTACTAAAATTTCCTAGCCTTTTGGTTTTGCTGCAATATACCCTGTCGATGTCCTAGACAAGTCCTATGAGTTCTTCATATCCCAATTCCCCTGTTTACCAGACACTCTCCCTCATCCCAGACAGAGCATTTTTTAAAAAAATCCTCTTGGGGCTGAGGGTCCGGCTAGTAGGGGAACACTTGCTCATGTGAAATGCCAGGTTTAATCCCAACACTTCCCAAAAAAGGAAATAAAAATAATATGGGCTAACTGCAGCCTTGAGAACTTAACCTTTGTCAGCCTCTCCACCCACTGAAAGGTGGGTTACTGCTCAGGACAGACAGACACTGGAGTTACCAGATCGGAGTATACCAATTACTTCAAATTAGCAGCACATGAAGGCTTTATCTTCTTTGTGCTTAAAATCCAGAGGCAACAAAGACGATAAAACTTACTCCAGGTCCCTTCCCTGAATTTTCATTAGTTATATTCAAACAGCAGGGAAAAGACAAGTTTGTCACCACACCACAGCAGACTGTCACACTATGTTGACCCAACTCAGCATTCCAAAAAGAATCATTTGTGACTCACTGTCCCACAGACTCAAATGATCTTGCATGTCTCTCCATGTCCACTGAAAACCCATTTACTATTCCTCTCAAATCTGCTGACACCCCCACTGCCCCCTTTTCCAGGAAAAGGGATAGAATTATGAATCAGGTTATTTTAACTTACTGTAGGTTTGTAGAAAAGAACAACACAAAATCGCCCTTCAGGTGAGCTTTGTTATGATAGTAAGCCCCGAGACTACCCCCAGGTATCATCCAGCACTGATGAGAGAGGTTTAGGAGAAATCCCACCATACCAGAGGCGGCATGATGCCAGCCTCGAAGGGGGCATCATTCCACTATATATATGTGTGTGTGTGTGTGTGTGTGTGTATACACATATGTAGTTATATATCATAATTATATTTAATATATTTATAATTATTTATAACATAATATACTTAATATATAAGTATATACTATATAGATATATGTTATATAAGTATTTACATGAATATATGATACAATATATGTGGATTTATTTAATAATTACATTTAATGTATAATTATATATATATACATATATACATACATATATATGTGTGTATGTGTGTATATATATATGTGTGTGTGTGTGTATGTGTGTGTGTATATATATATATATATATATATATGATGTCCCCAAAGAGAAAGAGACTTTCAGTTCCAGGGAATAAATGAAATTTCTGACTCTTACTGGTTTTCACGGAGGGAGGCAAGCTCCATCATACATGACCTATCTGGGCTGGCCTCCAAGCCAAGTAATACCGCAGAAGTACACTACGTAACAGTAAAATTATAATTCAAGGTTATCTGGAGATTAGGGGAAGTAGGGGTGGTGCTACTCACAGGTGCTAGTGCAAATGAGGCCTGTAAGAGAAAAAGGTCACAGCTGACATCTGTCAACTTCCTATAGCAGAGAGCCACAGGGGGCTGGGGGATGACTTGATTTCTGGGAGAAATAATCAGAGCCTGTGCCCTAACAGGTTGGGCTTAGTAGCTAATCACACTTTGTGACTGCTCTGTGTACATTAAAAAAAAAAATGTAATGGCTACAGAACAATTCCAAGGTCCAAGGCCCTTTGCTCTTAACACTGGAGTCTCCCCAGATCTGTTTATGATCTCTTTTGCCTCTCTTTCTCCCCTCTCTTGGGCAAGACAGAGAGGCTAGACGCACTCTTCTTCAATCCTAAGCACAAAAAACAGAATCAAAGCCAATGCAGTAAGGAGCATGTGCATATAATACCAGCACTAGGAGGCAGATGCAGGAGGATCCCAAGTTCAAGGACTGCCTGGACTACCCAGCAAAAACTTCCATCTCAAAAACAAAACAAAAATATGGAGAGAAGCCGGGCAGTGGTGGCGCACCCCTGTAATCCCAGCACTTGGGAGGCAGAAGCAGGAGGATTTCTAAGTTAGTGGCCAGCCTGGTCTACAGAATGAGTTCCAGGACAGCCAGGAGGGCTACACAGAGAAACCCTGTTTCGAAAAACAAAAACAAAAACAAAAAAAAAAGGAGAGAAATATCACTCTAACTTTCCTCCACCTTTCTAAGAACCTGCCACAAAGGCATTCTATGCTCCCACAGTAGCAGAATGTCTGCCTAACAGGCTCGCAGAACAGATTAATTCTCTGATCTATTTAGTCTGATATATATGAAGACCATAATTCCAGAAAGGGTTTTGCCTACACCAGAGGCAGACAGTACAGGTCAGGCTGAATTTCCTGGCTCACTCCCTTAGCATTATGCCACACTTCTCTTGTCCAATCACTTTTCTATACGACTGTCCAGTCTTAATTATTCCAAGAATGTGAACGGTTTTCCTTTGGTCCATGCATGTTTCTCTCAATTTGTGTGTCACATAAATCTTTGATTAAAAATTCTCGAGTGTGGTGGCGCACTAAAGGTGTGTAGCATTCTGAACGAAGAAGCTTTGAAGCCAGCCCGCTGCCCTTCAAGGCCTGCCAGATCTGCACAGTAAGACCCTGTCTCAAAACAAAAAACAAACACAAAAAAACTAAAAGTCCCACGTTTTTCTCTTGTTAACTACAGTGGCCTTTAGGATAAGAAAGAAAAGCATCATGTATTTTCACCCCAATACATCTGACCTGTACCACATTCACCGGTATGAGTGTCTGACTTCTCTTACAAAGATGCTAAACTTTTATCTGATGAACCCCCAACTCCAAAAGTTATTTTACATAGACAGGCAGATAGACCGATGGACAGACAGACGGACGGACGGATGCACAGACTAGACAGTTGCTGCAAGATGAAATCAAACAAAACACTAACCAAGGGCGGGTTTCCGAACCCTCCTTTGAGCCACACACCCCAGGAGAGGATGAAAAGCAGGGTCTTGGCTATGACAGCATGGCCCTCCACTTCTGGGCGCCTCTGCAGAGAGGCGAGACCCAATGCAAGGCACCGCCCCCTGCATCTGGCACTCACCAATGCACCAACACCGCACGGCCTTCGGAGCGAGCCTGGCCGATGAAGGCCACACACCGATCCAGGTGACTGAGCAGGTCGGTCTCGGGTTTGTCCAGCATCGGCACGAAGAGGCTCCGGAGACCTTCGAACCCAACCCCAGACGGGAAAGCCGGTTCCGAGTCCACCGTCAGCACAGCGGTGATGCCCGCCTCCCTCAGGAGGTCAGGTTCCGCCACTGCCGCTGCTCCACCCAGATACAGCCCTGGCCGCACTTCCACCGCGTGCCCTGCCGAGCTGGCGGGGCTGATAGTCGAAGCCGAGCGCTCACAGCCATGGTTAGAGCCCTGCACTTCCAACATGGCGGCGCCAGGAAGCCAGGCAGCCGCTGCCCACCACCAAGTCACCAGCTAGAGTGACTGTCTCCAGTGCCGGACTAACTCCAGCAGCTCAGCAGCGCCATGGGAGGACCATGGCAATAGGGAAAATGACTGATTCTGGGGAAGGTGATGCTGGGGTTGTGTGCTGTGTTCCATTTAGAGCAGCCTTTCCATCCAACCCTCCAAAGTCCAAGGCAGAAAATAAAGTCTCCATTCATCCATTACAAGTGGGACCGCAAACTTGTACAGTCACTACGGAAATCATCTTGGAGGTTCGTCAGGAAGATTAGAATCTATCTACCTCAAGATCCAGCAAAACTACTCTTGGGCATATATACGCAAAGAACACTTCATCCTACCACAGAGACACTTGCCCAATCATGTCCGTTGATGCTTCATAATAGCCAGAAATTGGACACAACCCAAATGTGCCTCATCAGAAGACTGGATAAAGAAAATGTGGCACATAATAAGCTGTTACTCAGCCATTTAAAAAATGAAATTCACAGGTAAATGGATAGAACTGGAAAAACAATCATTCTGAGTGAGGTAACCCAGATCCTGAACGACAAATCTGATATGTATAAGCTTACATGTGGATAGTAGCTGTTAAGTCAATGATAACCAAGCTGCAATCCATAGAACCCAGAGTTTAAGTATAGAGTAAGGGACTAGGGAGGGCCTGGTAGATCTCCCTAGGAAAGGGAACTAGAATAATAGGTAGTTATGCTGGATTGAAGGTTGGCTAGAACAGAAGGAACAAATGGGGAAGGGAAAAGGAAAGCAGGGAGAGAGGTAAAACTTTGGGCCATTTGGCGGGTGGCATGGAAACCTAACATGGTAGAGCTTCCTAAAATATATATGTATATGAAGGCAATCTAAGTGAAATGTCCAAATAATGGGGGCAATAGATCCCCAAATGGACATCTCTTGTCACCAAATGAAGCTTCCGGTACCAGGATTGGATTGCATCTAGTTGAACTGTTGGTCAATGGTGTCTTGAGGGAATCCCCAAACAACTCAAGCTGTTGTCAAGACTGTAGGTTGCTCTCCACCAACTGATGGCAAGGTTCCAGTGCTGAAGACAACGTCTACATAAGTCATTAGACAGGAAGAAGCTGAGCTGGTTCCTTCACAGAGCCTGCACCCGTATATACTAGTGTCTTTGATACAGGAAGGTACTCTGCATGCTACCAAAGGAGAAATTTAAACATCAACCCACCCACAAACCATTTGATCTAAAATGGTGTTCTGCCTGCAAGATATCCTAGTGCAATGGTGGCACAGACTTGCGGCAGTAACCAGCCAATATCTGATTTGACTTAAACCCCACTATACAAGATAGAACCCAAACTGAACTCTGCTTGAGTGACCAAGAACCATGAGATTAGATAGCTGTAGTGGTTTTGTAGAGTGAAAAATTATAGATACTGGGTATATAGAATTCTTTTTAGACATATAAAATATTCTTTAGGCTTTCTTTATAAAGACATGGAGAAACCGAGCCATGAAACAAGTTAAGAATGTGGACAGGCTAGTTACGGGAACTGGCTAGAATGCAAGATAGCCAGGTAGAACCAAGCTGAGAACAGCAGTGACAGGGCAAGGCCGAAGTGACAGGGCAGGACCACATTCTTGAGGAAAGATAAGCGTACAGAAAGTTTTCACCTGATCCTGACTCATGTAGGTTGGGTTCCTTTGGAATGTTCCACTATTTTTATGTTATGCCACCTAACAACCATGAGCCCCCTCCCCATTCCTTGGTTTGTGGTTTTTCCCCTTAAAAACCCCTCTCAAACTGGCTGTTGGGGTCAATTCAGCTCCTGCGTGGGCATACGAATTGACCATTGACCGGCAGCTAGCTGTCACGCCCTAATAAACCTCGCAATTGCTCTGGTACACGGTGTCTCGAGCAGATTACTGGGTGGCTGCGACTTTCTGAGACTTGAGTGAGGGTCTCCCCTCTGCGGAGGTCTTCAGTTTGAATATGCTTAGTCCACGGGAAGTGGCACTATTAGGAGGTGTAGAGGGAATACAAGAAAGGTTTCTCCCAATCTTCTAATGTCACCTAGCTGACAGACAACCAGGTGAGTGAACAGACCGCCTGAAGAAACAAACCTGTTAGACTGTATCATACTGTATTTAAGTTTAACTAGGGTCCGATCGATCTCCTTGGTGGAGAGCCCCATCGAGATGATGGAAAATTGCCCAACTGTATTCTAGGAACCCAAGGTCAGGATGGCCAGCTCACCTATCTTAGCCTTTGTTGAAACTGCTCGTTTGTGTGGAACCCCCTCACGCAGAGCCCCCTCCAGCTAACCACTTACGTTAGGTTCTGTTAAAACTGCTTGCTTTAAGCTACTTACTTCTCTGAAGCACCCCCACCCCACCCCCTGCAGCTGCTGAGCAAGATGCTAGGACATGATTTATTTCTTTAAATGTTCTAAACTCCCACAGCCACACTTAGGTCCCTGAATGTCTGGGTGTGCTACCAGCTGGCTGGAATAAAGACTTTCAGTTGAATATAAAATGTGTCTGAGTGGCCATCTTTGGTGGGTTATATATACATAATAATTACTACCCTCATCCCCCAACACACACACACACACACACGCACACACACACACACACACGCACGGTAGGGGGTGCACCTAAATTGTACTCTTACTGTCTATCGTTCTGTATCTTTTAAAGACATTACTTACATGCATTTGTATGAGTGTATCTTCTAGCTAAAATTATCCAATTGTGATCTCTGAAGAACGTCAGGGCATCACAGTAAAAGATGTGAAGAAGAGCTTATCACAGCCCTGGGGACTTTGAAGAGAGCTTAAGGAAGCAGCCTTTATTTTTGGTTGGATGCTGTCAGGAAGTGGGAGGTAGTCCTACAGCAAGCTATCTTAGTACACTTTATCCACAGGAAAGGCAAGCTAGAGTCCTCAATGTAACTGGGTAAGAAGTAGCAGATTCAGTACTGTCATGATAGACCTCTATTCCTAAAGAACGACATGGAGAGGCTCTGAAACAAAACCTCATATATATGTGGACAGGAAAACCAAACTAAACAATTAAAACTCCATCAAAAAAGAAAAAAAAGAAAAAGACAAAAAACATTTCCAACTAAGTTTACATTAGAGGGAGCAAGCGTGAAAGCGAGGCACATGAAGCAGGAAAACTACTGAAAAGCAAGGACAGCCGACGTGTGGTGCCACACCCAGCTGAGACCATACTTTCTTTCCTCAACTCTTTAAATAACTTAAGGTGTATGTGAGGGGGTGCAGCAAAGACACGGGTGACAGGACTGCCCCGTCATGTGGTGAAGGGGAAAGCTGTGTTGTGCATAAGAGAAAGTATCCAGAGGCAACTGGAAGATAAAAGAAAATATCAGGAGACAAGAGACTAGGAGGGGGTGGGGTGGGGGGGCTGGGGGTGAAAAGGGAGAGGAGACGATAAGGAGAATAGCTGGGACTGGGGTACAAAGAGAGCAGGAATCTGAGAAGGGCCGGAATGCTAGCTGGACCCTGAGATGTATAGTAAGTACTTGTGGGAAGGGACTGAGAGATCCCGGAGACCAGCATGGGCTTCGGTACACAACCACATGTGTAGGCCAGTGAAGCCATATGTCCCTTCTGACAGAGGTGAGGGAAATGACTCCTTTGGCAGATGGGGACCAGTTTGACAAGTTCCTGGGGAATGCTGGCTTTTATCTAATCACCAGAAATCCTCCTAGAGTCCAGTTTGAGTTTGTTTCTGGATATTTTGACTGCCTGTGAGGCCTAACATACGGTCCTTCAAAAATGGAGATAGGATACATATTTAGGATACCCACAGAGCCTGGAATTGACTTCTTGAAGTGGATTTCAATAGTGTCTCTAGTCATACTTTTAGACACTAGATGGAGCCATTTGCCTTTATGCAAGATAACCACTTTTCTGCAACTTGGATCTGATAGCTATTTTTTTATCTTACTATATTTAGTTTTGTTATACATTTTTAAATGAATGAAAAACTACCTGCTAGTCAAAGGTTAACAACAGAACTGCTTGAAGAGGAAAAATCCATTTTCTCCAAAGGAGTGACACTGGATATATCAACCACTCCAGGGCCAGTCTCATGTTGACCAACAAACAGTGGAGTCCAGATATTTTTGTGTATGTTTTTATTTAGCCACAGACTGGGGGTCTTTTGTTTTGCTTTCTGAGGGGGGCTAATTTTATTTTCCTGGTTTCTGGGGGGGTTGTTGTTGTATTGGGTTTTAGTTGTTTTTGTAAAGAAATAACTTAAAGTTGGATGGATAGGGAGAAGGACAGGATCCGGAAGGATTTAGGGCAGGGGAAGAATATGATCAAAATAATTTAAATGTTAAAATTATGTTAAATAATAAAATATAAAAGTAAATCAATCTTATCCTATACCATAGATAGGTAATTAAAAGATGTATTTGAAAATAACATCCTGCCGGGTGGTGGTGGCGCACGCCTTTAATCCCAGAACTTGGCAGGCAGAGGCAGGAGGATTTCTGAGTTTGAGGCCAACCTGGTCTACAGAGTGAGTTCCAGGACAGCCAGGGCTATACAGAGAAACCCTGTCTCGAAAAACAAAACAG